CCACCCTTGCCAGTGATCACAGTGGCGCTGCGGGGATCATGGCAAGAGCAGGGACCAGGCCTGGTAGAGAGAAGCCTGGAAAGATGTTTTGCATAGTTCTGGCCACCAGATTACAGGCCTAGCTAGGTTAGGCCCTGATTGGGGGTGCAGATGCCACTGAGTGCCAGGTCCCTAGCACCCTCATTTTATGCCCATACCAGCATGGCATCCAGTGTTCCTGCTGGCAGAGCAGGCAAGGCAGAGGTCAGAGGAGGTCACAGGCAAGGGAGGGAGCAGTGGGCTCAAGGGCCATGTGGGGTCTGCCAGACAGGGGAGGGCGGACACAGGGCTCCCGGGGGGCCACTGGGCAGGCCTGGCTCTGCCCTGTTGGGGCCGGCAGCTGGAGGGGAGTAAATATAGCGTGGGGCGTCCTGGCCACATTCCTGGGAGGCCAGCACGGCAGCCTGCCCGCTGTTCTAAGCAGAGTGCAGCAGCCAGGGCCCAGAGCCGCCACTGCCCTCTTCCCAAACAAACAGAAAAATAAATAAAACCAGCTCTCAGGCTGGCCAGCACAGCTGGGGGGAGGGGGCAGGAAGGGGTGGACCCGGGGGCCGGCAGCAGGCGGGCCAGTTGCCGCAGTTTCTGTTCCACTGGGAAGGAGGCAGTCAACAAAAGAGGAAAATGGAGGAAAAGGGCAGGGAGATGGTTGGAGATGTCAGGGAAGGGCAGAGAACCCTGGAAGCTCTGGAGGCTATCACAAGTGGAGGTGTGCAGAAGGTGGACCTGGAACAGCAGCAGAGGCAGTCACAGTGAGGGGCAGCTGGGGGAGGCAGACACAAGCCTCTGGGTCACTAATTCAGTGACAGGGATGGAGGGGGGCAGACAAAGGGGGCCGTGTGGGCTGGGGCGGGGGGCCCCTTGAAGGGCCATGAAATATTAAAGAGCCTAGGCCAATGAGTGACAGAGGTCACAGAAAGCAGGAGACCAGCTAAGGAGTGCCGGGGGACCCTGAGGCAGAAGGCTGCCCCCCCTTCTGTCACAGTCACTTTCCCCTGCTAGAGTCCCCTGTCTGTCCACAGTGAGGACAGGCTGAGGGTGGGAGGGGCAGCAGGGATTGGTGACGGGAGGGAGGGGAAGGATTCTCTCTTCCCTCAGGCTGATCTGGGCACAGCCGGCCTTCCAGAGCTGCCAGCCACCCTCACAAGAAAGCCAGGAGGCCTGTCAGCACAGCCGCTGCCACGGGCGCCTCCTGGGGAAGGAGGGGTAGACCTCCAGCTTCCCCTTCCCAGGAAAAAAATAAGCTAAGCCACCACTTTCCAAAGACCTGCAGCGAGGGAAAGCTGTGGCTCACAGCTCAGCTGAGCCAGCAGGTCACCCCTGGCCTTCCCAGCCCACCCTGGCCCCAAGCCTCATGACCCTGGCCAGTCCCTGGTCCCCGAGCCTGTATCTGTCTGTCTGTCTTTTGATTTTTGAGACAGGGTCTCACTATATAGTACAGCCTGGCCTTGAACTCAGTCCAGGTTGCCTCAGCCTCCCAAGTGCCAGGATTATAGACATGTACCACTATGCCAGGCAGAGCCTGTGCCTTTCTTTACCAGCCCTACCTACCCAAGGCTTGGGGTGAAGAAAGGAGAGGGCACATTAATATGGGAAAATCTAATCAAAGAGCTAATCCCCCCCCCCCATGTGCTAGTCTTCTAAGGTCACTTTTTTTGAAACAGGTTCTCACTATGCAGTTTAGGGCGGCCTCGGGCTCACTTTGTAGCCCAGGCTGGTCTGGATTTTGCAAAGATCCTCCTGCCTCAGCTTCCTAGGTGCTGGGATTATAGGAGGTGCCGCCACCCTTGCTTCTAAGGTCACTTATCGGGCCCCTTTTCGCAAATGGGAAAGAGAAACTAGAGAGATAAATAATGGGCAAGGTCCCACACCTAGGAGTTAGCAAAATGGAACAGAAAGGCTAAGAGTAAGCTAGGAGCGCTCTTCCTCCTATTTACCGGGAGATACCAAATCCTCATGAGGATAAAAAGGTCTTTTTTCTGAGATAGGGTCTCCCTGTAACTCATACTGGCCTGGAACCTGTGATCCTCCTGTCTCAGCTTCCTAAGTGCTGGAACTAAGTTATGTGTGAGTGTGCCCAGTAGAGCTAAGTCTTATTAAATGTTGAGTGTGGGTAAACTACCCTTGAGCAGGGCACTATGTAATCATGTCTGCGCTCATTTGACAATGGTCTTGTGTGGCAGCCTTTTTTTTTTTTTTTTTTTTGAGACAGGGTTTTGTTATGTAGTCCAGGTTAGCCTTGAACCTACATAGCTCAGGCTGGCCTTGAACTTAAAGCAATTCTTCTGCCGCAGGCCCCTAGAGTGCTGGGATTAGACACATGCACCACTGGGGCGGGTTCTTACTGCCCCATTTCGGAGATGAGTAAACAGATTTGCAGAGATAATACAATGTCTATCTGTTGTAATGCAGATAGACAGTGCCATGGTCTGGATGTGGAGCCAGTTCTAATGGACTCCAAAGCTATTGCTCATATATTCTAGTCTGAGTGAAGTCAATGAAAGGGGTTAGGATAACCCAGTAGGAGTGGTCAAACAGACTAGCTCTTTGGGGCTGGGGATTTATCTCAGTGGCATAAGTGCCCGCCTTGCAAGCAGGCAGTCATGAGTTCGATCCCCGGTACCGATAAAAAGAAAAATAAATAAATAAATAAATAAAAAGGTCAATGATCAGGTCACAACTGCTGTGCTGGGGAGTGGCCAGCAACTGTTTTGGGAGCAAGAAGGGGCAGAGCCTACAGGGGTTCCAGGTATGAGTGAAGTCTAGGGGCTTGGCTATAATGATCTGCCAGGTCTATCCAGAGCACCTGTACCAGGTAACACTGATTCCTCTCACCAGCATGGGTATAATACCACTGATCCAAAAAACCCAGGGCAGGGCTGTCTTGTTGGTCCCCAGAGTTCTAACTTGGGCTGCAGGGTCAGTGTAGCAAGAGCTAGGAACTCCTCCTAGGTTCCCCAAGTGCTGGTGGAAGGAGGGTCAGGATTCCCCCTCCCTTCCAGTCCCTGCTAGCCTAGAGGGAGGCCAGCATCAGAGGCAGGAAATGAAGAAGAATTTGCGATCTAATTGAGCTGGCAGGGGATTAGGCAGCAGAATGCAATTACAGGGGCTGGAGCTAGGCCAGGGGCACCGACACCCCGAGATGTGGCCTTGCCCAGGTGACTGGACCCAGCCAGCCTCTGGCCAGAGACACTGCTGGGGGAGGGGGTAAGCAATGGGGCTAGGGCCTGACTGCTCTCCTCAGCATACAGAGGAAGGGTTCCAGGTCCATGTGATACCCAGAAGCAAGTTTTACTGGGAATTTTCCTCCAGGAGAATAAATGACAGCAACATGGACTCACATGAGGAACAGGCAGACAGGCACATGTACTCTCACATGCTCTGTTCATGCATATACATGCTCCCAGGTAAACCTCTCGTATGCATATTCACCTGCACAGGCGCAGTTTCCAACCTGCAGACACACAGCTATGGCCCTTTGCTGCCACTGGCTCCACCAAAGTGGGGGAAACATGAAAAACACCCATGACCTTAAAATCCTTTTATTCCTGTAATCACAGGCTGCCATCACCGTGGATACGTGTTGTCACCCTGGCCCCAGCCTGTCTCCCTCTGAGGCTTCCAAAACTCCCAGCAAGCAGGCAGACAGGGAAGCTGCCCAGTTACTGCTGGGAGGAAAAGGAGGGTGGAGCGGGTTGAAGAGGTTTGATGCTACACGCACACACACACACACACACACACACACACACACACACACGGCGACCTCCAACAACTGTGAGGAACAGCAGACAAGAGACACAGAAAGAGAAAGGAAAGGAACATGCAGCTATCAGCCACGTGAAGATGCAGACCACTGCCCAAACCTCACACCTATATTCATACCCAGGGACTCAAACACTCCCAGATTTATAAGCACATTCAAAATACATACAAATTATGAATACTAGCTCTCCCATATCCTAGAGACACAGTGTATACATTCCTGGATTCACAGGACATACTCAACTTTCAGATACACAACCTCAGATTCGTAAACATAAGAGTGTACATACATATGCATTTATACATGCTCCAATTCACGAACTCAAGCATGCCCAGACCTCTATAACCTGAGACAGACACATTCGACACTAGATTTATAAATATACAGTATACCTTTTAGATACACATGCAGTAATCACCAAGTACACATAACCAGATTCCAAAATCACAGACCAACAGACTAGTGCCACAGAGCCTCATCTGTCAGCTGATCCTGCCTCTCTCTGGCTTAACAGGCAGGCGGAGGGCAACCTGGGAGGGTGGACTCAGCACTGGGAGAGGCAGACAGTGAAGGGAAGTAAGAGAAGGCAGAAAAAACTTCAGTGGGATATTCTTGTTGGGCAGTAGTGCGTGAGTAACGGGGGAGGCTTTTTGTGGTCTGGTGAGTTCCAGCTATGAGTGAGAGTTTAACTATTAATACACTTAATCAAGGACACTTGACACACAGATACACAACCACACACACTGGGCCAGGATGGACCGAGTGGGAGGGGTAAGAGGGGAGCCCCAATCAGGGCCCCAGAAGGTGGGAAAGGGGCGGAGCTTCTGCCTCAGGCCTGCCTCCAGAGCTGGGGCAGTGTTGATTCTGCCATCCCTAGAAAGGTAGGGGCTGATACACAAGTAGATGTGCACTACTTACACATCAGGCCAATAAGTGAATTACGTGTAAGTAGTGGGCCACACAAATAATAAGCCTTCCCTGTCCTTAGCCAGTTTAAGCATGCTCCACTGCAACAAGCTTGGGAATTAGTTCTGAATAAATGGTTACAACGGACTCGGAAGCAGACCAGCCTCCCCCATTCCTCTAACCCACTCTTGCACCCCTGCAAGTCAGCTAACCTCTGTCACACCTATATCCCTTTCTCCCCTTCTAGGGTATGACCCTCACCTCCATTAGATCTTCTCATGAATAATTAGGTGGCTGGTGGATTTCTAAACAAGGTGGGACATTTAATTCCCAGGGACTTTTTTCTTATCCAGATTGCAGCCCTGCCCCCACAAGCCCACAAGACTCAGTTTTACATTTGCCAAATGGGTAGAAGACTGGCAAAGAGCTAGAAATGGATGGCAAAACTTCAGGGTCACACAGTGGGGGACTTTGGAATATAGCCCTGTGTGGGCCTGGGCCCTGGATGCACAATCTTTTTCTTCCCTTCCCCCACCCAGCCCAGCCCAGCCGGGTGGACATTCCAGGCCTCACGTGATAAAGAGGAGGCCACTGGCCCTCGGGTAAGTCAACAGCCTCTGTCGCGGGAGAGATAGGAGGCCCAGGCCAGGGTCACCTGCTGAGCCGGGAAAACAGCCCGATCCAAACACACACATAAATAAGGTACCAGCGACAGCCAGCCAGCCAAGGGTCTGTCTTCTGCACAACAACCTCTGCCCTCACCTTAGAAAAGGGGGTGGCAGGCCAGAGGGAGACGCAAGGCTGTCTAGGGGCTTCCCTGGGAGAGTCCCAGCTCTTGCCAGGACGGATGGGAGAGGATCTACCAAGTCCCAGGGCTGACTGAGAACTCCGAGGCCAATCTCTCTCAGCTGTTCCCACTCCTTCCCAGGGCAAAAATCAAACTGTCACCCCCTCTCTCTTCTCTCCAAGGAGAAAGGACAATTTCCGTTCGGGGGGGGGGGTGACAGCTGCAGAGCGGGCCGCCAACCCCCCCCCCCCAAGCTCCAGCCTCTCATCTAGGGAAACTGCTAAATCAACACCACGCAGTTGCAGGGAGGAAGAGCTGGCCGCAGTCTCCCAGCATGGCTTTCAAAAAAGCATTGGAGGGGGCTCAGGTCCCAATTCTTATGTTCCAGGGTCAGTTGGAACCCAGGGTATAGAAGTCTTCTAAAAGGGGATCAGGTCAAGCTTAGGCCAAATGTTCCCAACTGCAGGGACCGACACCCCCCACTCCACCCCACCCCCGCGAGCCGGGGCAGCTGAGGTGGCGCCGGGCGTTCAAATCGCGCTCCAAACAAGTCCGCAGCGACCGCGCTCGCAGCCCCCGCCAGGCGGCCCCAGCGGAAAACTTGAAAGGGACTCTGTTTGCCGGCGGCCCCGGGGCGGCTCCGGCGGGGGCGAGGGCCGAGCGATCACACACGCCCCCCTTCTCAGCGCTTCCTGAGTGAACGCGGGGGGTGGGAGGCTGGGCCCACTACAAACCCAGGGCTCCGAACGGTGCCCGCGGCGCTAGCGAAGGCGGGGATCGAGGGGCTGACCGCCCCCTCCCCGCCTCGCCCAGCACCCCCAACCCGAAGACGCGAATCAGACCACCCAGGGTTCAAGGGGTAAAGGAGGGCGCGGCTGCCAAGCCTTCAGACCCCGTTGCAAGAGGCTCCAGGGAGCAGGTCTTTCCGGATGAGTCACTACAGAACCCCCCAAATCTACCGACGCCTCTCAGTGCAGCCCAAGGCACCAGCCCAACTTCGTGCACCCCTTCCGATTGCCGGGGGTGGGGGGAAAGAAAGGGGGTTGTTCTCTTATTGGGCGCTTCACCTCTGACAGGCGCCGGAATGGGCCCCCTCACGTGAAAACTGGTGTCACTCACTTTGTCCATCCTAGAAATAAACAAAGCCAGGCGCACCCCGCGCGCCCCGCCGGAAAGCAGCCCATTCTGGGCAGGGACAACTTCCCCTAGTCAGAAAATTAACACATTCCTCTCGCGGCAGCTCAGCCCCTCGCCCCAGGGAAGCAAGGGGAGGGGGGCTCGGGCCGAACTTTAAGGTAAATTTGGGACCCAAGCAGCAAAGCAGGCGCCTGGGACACCCGCTCCCACCCCAGCTACGCAGCTCGGGGAACACCCCCATACTCCCTCCCTCGTTTTGCACACCGCTTAGCCCACGAGGGGCTCGGGAGGCAGTCCGAAAGACTCCCCTAGGCTGGGGAGGTAAGGGAGTAAGAGGCCGCGAGGCGCGGTGGAGGTGGGGGAAGATACTCGGACGGAAAGAAAAAAAAAGGTCAAACTTGATCAGCCCGCCAGGCACCCCACGGGCAGCGGGGGCGAGGAGCCGGAGGGGAAATGCAGAAGTGGCCGCCGCCTCTCCCTAGTGGAGGAGGAGGTTTGGCCACGCATGGACGAGGACGCTCGGAGCAGCTGTTGTCGCCCCCAAACACAGGGCAGTGAGTGAGGTCTGATGCGGGGAGCACGCACCAGCGATCTCCAAGCAGCCGCCCCCGCGGCCGGACGCCCGCAGACACCGAGGTGAGGACCCCAGCGCCCGTCACCCCAGCGCCCGTGAGCTCCAGGCATGGGGACGAGGACGCTACCCTGCAGGGAGAGCCCCAGCCCCACTGCGCCGCGCCTAACCCGCCGTCCCCGACCCTAAAACCCCTCTTTTTGTCTGAACTCAGTGATCTGCGACCGAACACACTGCGGCTTGGGTATAACAGCGGCCACCAAGCGATCACCGGCGCTAGGTCTCCGAGCCTCGGGGGCTCCGCGGCTCAGGCTGCGGGCGCCCCCTGCCCCTCTCAAACACAGACGCCCCCCCCGTCCCCGGCTTTCCGCACCTGAACTTCGGGGGAACCCGCGCCGCCAAACTTTCCGCCGACTTGCAGCGAACTCCGGCCCCGGCCGCGCACCGAGCCCCGGGGGAGGAGAGGGAGGGAGGCGGGGAAGGGGAGGGGGCCGGCCTCTGGGGGGGCCGGGGGAGGGCCGTGGCCCGACACCTACCGACTCTCCGAGCCGTCCAGCCGCCACCGCCGCCGTCGCCGCGAGACCGGGGGGAGGGGCGGGGCGGGGAGCTGCGCTCCGCTCTAGGCACCGCCGCCGCCGCCGCGGTGCGCTCCGCTCAGCCGCGCGCCGTGCCGGGGCCGGGGCCGGAGTCGCGGCTGGCCCGAGGCGGGGAGGGGGGGGAGCCTGCAGCACCTGCCCCTCCTCCCCCTCCCCGCGGCCCAAATTAAAAAACAACAAAAAGCAACTAATCACCCCCGAGCGGAGCGCGGCGCGGCGCGGCGGGCGGGCGGAGGGCTCAGCGAGCGGCGCCCGGACTCAGCAGGCGGCGCGCATGGCTGGGCGCGGGCCGGGCAGGGCTGGCCGCTGGGCCAGGCTGTGTGTGTGGTGTGGGAGGCTCTGCCGCGCTTCTTCCTCGGCTCGGACGCCTGCTCTCGCCACCACTGCCACCTCTGCTGCCGCCGCCTCTACATCCCCGCTCAGGCTACGCCGCCTCTGCCGCCGCCGCTGCGCGCCCGCCCGGCCAGGAGCTCTGAACGCTGCCCGGGGCTGCCGGCAAAACCCGGACCGGACTCTCCGCTCCCTCCTCCCTCCTCCCCCCTCCACCTCCGCTCCCCTCCCTCCTCCCGCCGCCTCCCTCCCAGCGCAGCTCTGGCCACTTGGACGCCGCTGGCTCTGAGGCTGGAGCCACAGCCGCTGCGCCTCCAGCTCCCCGCGGCCTGGTGAGGTCGGTCCAGGCTTAGCTCCCCCGCGTGCCCTGCTTCACCTTTTTTTTTTCCCCCCGCGCAACTTTGCAAGAAAAAGGAAAGAGGATTTCCCCTTCTTTTCTATCCCTAATTTGTGAAGGATGCCTGGCCTGGGTTTGGACATGCACCTTCCGGGAAAAATCCACTCTCCCTCTGTACCCTATTCACCCACGCAAGAAGTTGTAAGGATCTGGTAAGAGGGTTTGCCTCCAACCTCTTCAGCTCAGGTGCACCTGGAGCCTGAGACTCCTAATTGACCGTGTTTGGGCCTAGGTGTTTGTCCAAAGACCCCACCCTACCCTGATTCCATGGGTCTTCTCGGAGAAAGGGGACAAAAGTGTCCTGTCCCATTTCACAGATGAGGAAACTGAGATGATTCCAGCCCAATCTCTGGGTCGACTACATTATGGTACCCCAGGACAGTGGCCTACAAACATGAAGTCTGGAACACAGCATCACTGAAGAGGTACTGATTGAAAACTATGAAAACCTCATCCCAACTGCAGTAGGTGCCCAGTGGGGACAGACAGACTTGGGCCCATATATCCCTGCCCTTACTCCATCTGTGCCTCCTCCATTGCCCAGCTTAACCTAATCATCCAGCTGCAAATGTCTTTCCAGGAACCCATAAAGTAAGCCCCTGGCTCCCATAATCCCAAAGTGTCTATAATCCCAAAGTGGAAGTTCTCCAATTTTCTGGGATTCGTGTGGACAGACTTGTACTGCAGGCTGAAAGTCAGGCCAAGCAGAAAAAAACACAACCTCCAAACTCAAAGTGGAGGAAGGGGATGGCTGACCCAGGGCCAGGCATGGTGGTGTACACCTGTAATCCCAGTATTGGGGAGGCTGAGGCAGGAGGATCGCTAGGTGTTCAAGAACAGCCTAAACTCCCTAGTGAGACTATCTCCAAAAAGAGAAAAAAAAAGAAAAACAGCCCTGGATTCCCAGATTAAACATTACAGTGGGAGATGAAGATCAGGGGTCCAGATAACTGGGAGTTAGTTAACTGCTGAAACCTGGGCCCCTCTAGCAACATCAAGGGCTTCCTAGAACAAGCAAACCTGTCCTGCCTTGTTGCTTCCTCTGCATCTGTGCAGCCTGGCTGCCTCCTGACCAGGGCCAGGGCCAGAGCACCTAGTCTTTGGGGAGCAGCAGCTGATATCCTGAAACCTACATGTGGACTTTGGGGCCCTATCCTGTCTGGGGCATTGGGAGTGGTGTCAAAGAGCAGAGCTTATCTGAAATGTGTTGTCTGCTCCACTCCTGCCATCCCAGGCCATGAAGAGGAGCTCCTAGAGATAGCAGATCCCTCCCCAATTGCTTCCTTGCCCAAATGCTAATGTGTCCTGTCCTCCCTTACCTGCTGTACTGGTTTCAAGAATGACTTCCTGACAGAGGTAGTTAGCCCTTCTCCAGCGGTTCTCTCTCTCTCTTTTTTCTTTTGATAAGGTCTCTCTAGGTATTCCAAATTGGCCTTGAACTCACTGGGTAGCCCATACTAGCCTAAGATCCCAGCAGTCTTCCCCCCTCAGCCTCTCTCTCTAGTGCTAGGCTTGTACCTGGTAGCAGGCTTCTTAAAAGGCATCCCGAATAACACAAAACATACCATATGAGTAAAGTTAAAGTGCTTACTATAGAAACAGTTTTAAGGCAGTGAACACTCCCAGTAGTTTACATCTAACCTTCTTGGAGGTTTTTTTTTTTTTGGGGGGGGGGGGCTTCTTGGTTTTTTTGTTTTGTCTTATTTTTTGAGACAGGGTCTCAATATGTAATTTGGGTTGTCCTTGAACTTTGTAGTCCAATCTGGCCTTGAACTCAGGATAGTACTCCTGCCTCAAACTTTCAAGTGCTGAGACCACAAACACTACCATATCCAACTATACATCTAAGCTTCTTAAAGATTTTTTTTTTTTTTCTTTTTCATTTTTATCAGTACCAGGGATCGAACTCACGACCGCCTGCTTGCCAGGCAGGTGCTTATGCTGCTGAGCTAAACCCCCAGCCCTGCTTCTTAAAGATGGGACATTCTACTGGGCATGGTGACATACACCTGGGCATAATCGCACATATTCAAGAGGCTGAGACCAGGAGGATTATCATGCATTTGAGGCCAGCTGTACTACAAAGTGAGATCCTGTCTCAAAACAGTTAAAGATGGACATTCTGTGTGGTATCCTACACCTATAATTCTAGCATTCTGGGAGACTGAAGGAAGAGGATCACAAGTTTGAGCCCACTCTGAGCAATTTACCAAGATCCTGTCTTAAGATTAAAAATTTAAAAAGGGCTGCAGATGTAGCTAAGGAGGGAAGTCCTAGGTTCAGTCTCCATTATGAAGAAGAAAAAAGCTTCACACCTAAGAACAGGTCTATGCTGAGGGGCCAGGGATATAGCTCAGCTACATAAGCACCTGCCTGGCAAGTACAAGGTCCTGAGTTCCATCCCTGGTACAAAATAAAAATCTATGCTGAAATCCATGAAGAAATGTAGAGAGTAGCCCCACCATAGGGAATTGCTATTTATTAATTAAACACTTATTTTGAGACTTCTACCCCCACCTCTGGAATCAGGAAGGCAAAGCCCAAATGGCTACAAGCAGCAGTGGTAGAAACCCAGGCATCCCACTGGGGATAACTTCCTGAGAAAGAGGCAATGACAACTTCCCAGCCCAGTTCAGAGATTGCATCTGGGGCTGGGAAGTTGTCATTTGTGAAGCACTTGCCTAGCAGTCCCAGGTCCTGGGTTTCATTACAAGGTGAGGGTGAGGATGATGAGCAGAGGGTGAATCTTGGAGCTGCCTTCTTCTAGAAGTTAAGAATTAGGGAGGGGGTAGCTCAGTGATAGAGCAATTGCCTAGCATGAGATCCTCAGCATAACAAAACTAAACAAGAAGGGGTGGGGGATTTAGCTCAGTGCCCACCTGGCATGCGTGAGGTCCTGAGTTTGATCCTCAGTACCGCAAAAAAAAAATAAATAAATAAACAAACAAGAATTGCTCTGCATTAGATCCTCAGCACCACAAAGCTCACAAAGCTAAACAAGAATTGGTGAGGGGGCTGGGGATTTAGCTCAGCGGCATAAGCGCCTGCCTTGCAAGCAGGCAGTTGTGGGTTCGATCCCTGGTACCGGTAAAAAGGAAAAAGACAAAAAAAAAAAAAAAAAAAGAATTGGTGAATACCTTGGGGGCTGGGGATTTAGCTCAGCGGCATAAGCGCCTGCCTTGCAAGCAGGCAGTCATGAGTTCGATCCCTGGTACCGATAAAAAACGAAAAAGACCAAAAAAAAAAAAATAGAATTGGTGGATACCCATCCAACCCATTGCGAACCAAAGAAGAAAAGGACAGAATTGGCCACATGGAGCCTTATACTTTGATGTTTGTAATCCCAGCCCTTGGAAGACTGAGACAGGAGGATCATAAAGAATCTGAGCTCAGCCAAGACTATATAGTGAGTTCAAGGGCTGCCTGCACTACATAGTAAGACCATGTCTCAAAGCCCTGAAATCCCAGCACTCGGGAGGCTGAAGCAGGAGGATCCTTGTAAGTTCAAGACCATCCTAGGTTACAAAGTATGCTCAAGACCAGCCTAAACTGTATAGTGAGAACCTATTTAAAAAAGACAGAAAAGGGGCTGGGGGTTTAGCTCAGCGGCATAAGCACCTGCCTTGCTAGCAGGCGGTTGTGAGTTCGATCCCCGGTACCGATAAAAATGAAAAAGACAGAAAAAAAAACCCAAAAAACTGGAGGCAAGTTGCTTAACTCACTATTGCTGCCCCACCTCCAAAGAAAAATACTTGTCTCACATTGTTATTAAACTTTGTTTGAGACAGGATTTCACTGTGTAGTCCACACTGGCCTCTACTGCAAGATGCTCTTAGCCAGGAATGGTGGTACATGCCTGTAATCCCAGCACTCAGGAAACTGAGGCAGGAGGATCATTGCAAGTTTGAGACCAGCCTGGGCTACCAAGTGAGCTCAAGGCCAGCCTGACCTGCAAAAGTGACACCCTGTCTCAGAAAAAGGTGTTCTTGCATCAGCTCCCAAGTGCTGAAGGGACAGATGTGTGCCACTGTGCCCATTTTGTTAGTAAACTTTCTTTTGAGTTCTTTCAGCCAGTCAGTTGACCTTCAAGAAGTCAAGAAGTTTGTAGCGCTTTTGAGGGAAAGCCTCTTTAACCTTCTATCCTGTTTTCTAGGGAGGAATTGCATGTGGTTCCGTGTCTTTTTATCTGTGCTAAGAATCAAAGAGGGCCTCAGCATATTAGGTGAGTGCTCTATCATGGAGCTACCCCAACCTGATTGGGATTGAATGCAGCCTTGACACTGAGCTACATCTTCAGCCCTTTTTTCCTCTTTTGTGAGAGTCTTACCAAGTCACTCAGTTGCCCACATATGTTCCAACTGTGGTCCTGCTGCCTCAGCCTCCCAGAGTGCTGGGCCTACAAACCTTACACTCTCACACCTACCAGTGACCGTGTGCTCTAGAATCCTGTTGATAGTATTCATGCCTGTCATTACTAAGCCTCCACCTTGAGCAGGATTGGTAAACAGTTAAGGCACATTATGTCATTTACTTCTTATAATATCCCCATTTTTCAGATAAGGAAACTGAAGTGAGCTTGGTACTGTTTATTAGCTCTGAGATTTGCTGGCCTCTCAAGGCTTCTGTACAGATCTGACCTGGGGCTCAAACACTTCACATCCTATAATGGCTCCTCAAAGCCCACAGATCAGCACAGGCTCCTTGTCCCACCGGGTTCTCTTCCTTCCCCTTAGCCAGCCCTCTCCTCCCTATAATCCTTAGGCCCTGCTGGTGCCCTCAGAGCCAAAAGCCTCCTTGGGTTTTCAGGGCTTCAGTGCTGGGGACGGAACCGAGGGCCTCCCACATGCTAGGCAAAGCACCCTACTACTGTGCCCTCTGGGCTCCACGGAGCTCACCTCCTGAACTCTTACTGAAGATCAGCACTAGGAACCTTCTCTGTCACTTCAGCCTGAGTTTAGGCCACACCTCCAAGGCCAGTGCTAGCTTCTGAAAGTCAGAAAAAGGTACCAGCTTTGGACACAGCCTTTGAAGCTTGCTTTGCTAGGTGCCTCTTTGAAGTGCATGCACTGCACACCTGTACTCTGTGGCCCGACTTTGGGCCCCTCATCTGTCTTCGGCTCCAGTCACAGTGACCACATTGCACAGAAATAGCTCTTTTGGGGAGGGGCAGTGCTGGGGATCTGAGACCAGGGTGGCACCAATGCTAGGCGGGTGCTCTATCATCACTCCCAGCCCTGGAAATAGCTTTCATCTGCTCATCTATTTTCCCATCCACTCACTACCACATCCATGGAAATTCCTGAGGATGAGGGAGGGCTTCCCACCTACTCCGGGCCTGAAACTTAGCTCTAAATAGGTACCAACTATGGTGGTAGCCTGCGTCTTTCTGAGTACATACTATAAGTAGGGCATCATGCTAACAGCTTTCTTAATCTTCAGGCATGGTCACTGGCCCAAGTTTACAAAATAGCCAAACTGGGACTTTTATGTTTGTTTATTTTTTATTTTTTTGGTCTTTTTCCTTTTTTATCGGTACCAGGGATCGAACCCACGACTGCCTGCTTGCAAGGCAGGCACTTATGCCGCTGAGCTAAATCCCCAGCCTTATTTTTTACTTTTTCAATATGTAGTTCAGGCCTAGGTACTATTGTGGCCCAGGCTGGTTCAAACTTGACAGTGATCCTTCTGATTCAGCCTCCCAAGTGCTAAGACTATAGGAGTGAGTGAGCCACCACACTTGGCTCACAAAAGCAGGATTTTAACCCATACCTTGTTGGAAGCATTTTCCACATCTGCTAGGTATCTGATGATGTCTCTTTGATTTAACATCTAGTGACTGGGAATGGCAGTATAGAGAAAAGTCTGGGAGGTAGGATTTCTAAAATGATGGCCAGTCCAGAACCTGCCTAATATCTACCCCTCTTTAGGCCTAGTTCCCTTATGGTATCACAAAAGATGGGACAGAAGGCGTTTTCAGTCTTGCCTGCTGGACAGGTACAGAACAGTCTTTACTGGGGTCATATTGGACTGTGGTCCCTCTAAAATCCTAACATAGAACAGGGAGGAGCCTAACTGTACCAGACTGTGGACGGGCCTCTAGGGCTCCAGCCCTTCCCACTGACTCCTTGACCATGGTCTCCCTTGCTCACACCTCTGACCTCTGCAAGGGCAAGAAAGCTGTGAAACTGAAGGAAAACTTCAGACAAGCCAGGTCTTTCTCCCAAGTGGTCCAGGCCTGCCCATTCCTGAGAAGTAAGCTTGGTGATTTGTACCTGACCGTGAGCTGTGTTAGGAAGGTAGAAGGACTCCAGTTCCAGAAGAAAGTGGCTCTAAGAACTGAGTGTGATGGTGTACGCCTATAGTCCCAATATTTAGGAACCTGAGGCAAGAGGATTGTCATGAGTTGGAGATCAGCCTGGACTCTTTAGTGGGCTCAAGTCTAGCCTGAACTACTTTTTTTAAAAAATGGACTGGGGATATAGCAGCACAGCACCTGCCAGGCAAGTGCAAGGCCATGAGTTCGATCCCCCCCCAAAAAAACCAAAAACCAAAAAACAGCTGGGTGTGGTGGCACAGGCCTGTAATCCCAGCACTCATATTGTGAGTTCAACACCAACCCAAACTGCATAAGGGAGACTCTGTCTTTAAAAGAGAAAGCAAACAACAAAAAATGGCTCTGAGGACAGAGATGGGAGAGATTAGAAACCAGGCCACCCTGCCTCCATATTTCCTCTTTCCCAGGCCCATCTGCAACCACGCCATAGACAACCGTGGATACAGCCTCACATTCTCTGCTCAGCCTGTATGTGGAGGGCAGACAGGGGTAGGGACAATCTGAGAGGTGCCACGCCCCTGAGGGAAACCTGGCGTGGTTCAACTGGTCCTGTGGGAATGGGACTAAGTGCTCCCAAAGGCCAAAGCTGTGGTTCCAGGGCCCTCAGGGTCAGGAAGAGGGTGGAGAGAACAGTGTGACTCTAGGAAGGTAACCTAGGAGGAGCTTTAGGAAGGGGGGCAGACACAGCCCTTATTTGTCCCAAACCCGCAGGCCCTGCACCTGGGGGAGGGGTGCCCTGAGCTTGAGAAGCCAGCCTGGCCTGAAAGTGCTCTGCCTCGGGCCTACAGGTTAGGGTAGGGTGGCTGGGGAGGCCATGCCTCCTTTCACCCACCAGAGGCCAAGCCAGCTGGGAGAGGCCCCTCACTCTCCAGCTGGGTATGGCCCAGACTCTTCAGGCTGGGGGTTCACAGATCCCATCCACCGGCCCTGTTCTGTGTTCACCTTCAGACTGCAGCAAAGGGGTGCCTGGGCTGCAGTTGAAGTGGGCCCTGGATGAACTGCTCTTTGAACTGGTGGGACTGGTTTTGTGTCTTACTGCCTGGGCAGTCATGAGTTGCCTGCTGGGCCTGAGAAAAGGGAGGCCTTGGGAAGGGGCCCCTCGTAAATCTTTAACTCCCAGAGCCGCCAGTGGGTCCCAGGGCCCCACCCCCAGTCCTTACTCCGGCCACCCCAGACCGGAGGTTAGAGGTCTCAGCACCTGGGCAAGTCCTTCCCCCCATTACCTGGCTGGAGAGTGGGAGGGGCGCGCAGAGATGGCCCTTCCCTCAAATTTAAGTGCTTCTCACCCTGTCTCGCCTCTAGCTTTCCTTCCCCAAGCCCTGCAGCCCTGACCTTTGTCTCTCCGAGGAGACAGACACTCTGGGTGGGCCTTGGGGCAACCCCTGGGCAAAGTCCCAGCCCTGATTTTTTCCAGATAATTATACGTCTCACCCACTCCTCCGCAAGGGGTCTTGGTTCTTTTAGCAGTGAAAAGCTAGACTTTGTTCAGAATTGAGATTGGACCCTCAGCATCGTTCCAACCTCGGTTCCTTGTGCTGGGGTGGGGGTGGAGGGACAAAAAAACGTTCTTTGTGAAAAGGTTACAGAAACCTTTTACCTGCTTGGTAGATAATCTGTTTAGCAATCTATTCCTAGTTTGCTAATAAGGAAATTGAGGATCCAAAAGGCATATGGTAGCTGTACGTAGCAGGCATGGGTTTGGTCCAATTTTGTGCCCTACAGCCAAGGATAGCCCTTGAAGGAACTGAGGTCATGTCTTCAAATTCCTAAATTACCTGTGGTGGTACACACCTCTAATCCCAGAACTCCAGAGGCTGAGGCAAGGGCAAGAGGATTACCCTGAGTTGGAGGCCAGCCTGGCTACATAGTGAGTTCAAAGCCAGCCTGCACTACAAAGCAAGACTGACTGGAACCTCAACACACACAAATGAATGAGTAAATAAATAAAATTTTCAAATCTCTAAAGTGTAGGAGTGAGGATAGAACCTAAAAAGAAGAAGGACTGGACATTGTCCCCCCTATAACACTATAGGGCTTCTTCTATGAGGTGAGTGTGGACAGGAGACCATTAATATCCCTACCTCTCAAGGGCTCCACCCCCAGTTCACACCTCCCAGGAGATCCCCTGAACCCCAGGAAGAACCTCCCGGACAGCCCAATGAGGGAGGATTGATGATGCCACCCTTTTCACTAGGGAAGCATGTCAGAAGCTGAGGAGATAGAAAAAAACATCAACTTTTAATTGAGATTGCAGATTCAGAAAAGAATCGTAAGTTAAATGATTCCCTGGGGAAATATAAAAAATTACTTATGGGATGGCTAAATCTGGCATGCTTCAATCAGGGGCTGTTGAAAAATCATTAAGATATACAAGATGATTTTTTTTAGATATATGGGAGCTCTGTCAGAGGGATGGCCGTTGCTCTCACTAGGTCTACTCAAGTGGCGTGGCCTCTGGTGTCACCCATACCTAGGTCTGGGGAAAGGAAACAGCCCCTCTCTGTCAGGCCCTGGGGACCCATGAACTCAAACCAGGAAGAATGCTTAGGAGGGAGGGTGGTTACACAGGGCTTTTTTATTGTTGGAAATGTTTTTTTCCTCTTTCAGGTCAGCTTGAGAAAATGGGCACCTTGCCAGGCGTCGTGGCACACACCTGTAATCTCAGCCCTCAGGAGGCTGAGGCAGGTATGCTGAGTTCAAATCCAGCCTGGGCTACATAGTGAGTTCAGGACTACCCTGAACTACATAGCAAGATCCTGTTTCAAAAGAATAAAACAAAATGGGTGCCCTAGTTAGACACAGGACAATTTCCAGAATACACTTGTGGACCCATACCTGGGCCAGGAGGATGATCATTATTTTTGTCTGTTTATTTACAGTACTGAGAA